CACTAAGCCGTATCTGACCCTCAAACTGCAACTTCCGGGTAGTTCACTCAGTAACGGTGAACTCCCGGACTCAAAGTGATCTCAAAGAGATCTAATCATAATACCTTTCAAATTCGTTTATTAATTAGTTATCTTTATTACAAACATTGTTTTACTGATTATCATTAATTGGTTATCTTTATTACAAACATTGTTTTACTGATTATCATTCGGATTTATTTCGTTAATTATCATTAATTAATTTTATTGATTAAACCGTTATTAATTCCTTATTATGAATTTTTTGAAGGGTTTACGGGAAATTTAATTTCTTCCGTTTGATTAGGTGTCTACAGTCCATCAGTGGGACAGGGGATTGTATGTATATTGGTTGACTGTTCTACCCCTGTTCCCACGCTACCTACCCCCCCTGTAGTCTGTGAACACCGGCACCTCTCAAGTACCGCATCAGTTCAGACTGATGTCGACGGAACAGGACACCGGGGCACTGCCACGGCGCAGTGCCAGGATCGCAGTTCGTGCCCGCCCTGCGGTACCTCCAAGACCCAAGAGATTCAGCAGACGGACGACTCCAGCGGCATCAAGTACGGCATTGATAGTACAAGACACCACCGGAGATTTTCCCGCATGCCCGGTCCGAGAGGCCAATGAGCCGTTGGCTGACTATTTTGGGCGACTACAGGYATTTATAGATACCGTAGCTGCCGCCAAGGCTCAGCAGGAGGCAGCAGAGGCAGAACGTCAGCGGCTGGCCAATGAGGCGGCAGCCCAAGCTCAGCAGACTGCTGAGGCYGACGCAGCGGCACGAAACAGACGGAATGCCGCCAGCACGGAGTCCCTGATTGCTAGTGAGCATCAGTGGACAACGTTACTCCAAGRCATGATCTTTGTGCCTACGGAAACGCAGGCGGAACCRACACAGGCGGAGGCAGAGAAAAGTAACCTGGCTACCGTGATGTTGCACGTAATGAGGGGAGTAATGTGGAACAATAAACTACTGCAGGCACACCTGCACGCGGATCGTCAGCAAAGACAGCARKACCAGCAAGACCATGCCGCTGTAACGGCCGACGTCTGCGACGCAGCAGTGCAGCAGCAGCAAYAGCAACARCTAATGAACTCTACCATYGCACGCATCAACGGCATTGAGGCCAAGGCCTCAGCAGCRCCAGGCTGCACGACGGACGCGACGAAGCAAATCAATGAACGCATCGATCACATCGTCACCATCATCGGCGACATAGGTGTTTTCAACGGACCGGACACGATCAGCAGCACGGTGGCCGCCCTCAAGACGGACATCACCAAGCTACAGACGAGACCGGACGCCGCTACAAATACATTAAAGATGCCACACTTCGACATCTGCAAGTTCGACGACTACAACAAGTCGGACACTTTGACATGGTGGCAACGTTTCCTCACGGAAGCGTCATGCCGCACTGTCCCGGCGAATGACATGTTGAAGGCACTCTATTTGCAACTGATTGGAGGAGCGCAGGCATGGATGAACCACCTGGCGGCCACCCACAAGTGCACCATCGCCGAACTCCACACGCACATCACGTGGAAGGAGTTCGAGCAGCTATGGTTCACCCGGTTCATGGTCCGCAACGTCGTGAAGGCGGCCATGAATGAGGTGTACACATGCTCTCAGGGGAACATGCCAACTCGAGACTGGACAACGAAGTGGCAAAAGATAGTGACCACGCCAGGATTCGATTTGAGTTTTCCAAATCAACGATCCGAGTTCTTCTCGTGATCGTGCGCGGGATTGCGGTCGACACTCGGTAATGAGTACGACTATACCACATTCCAGGCCATTCTGGATCGAGCGAACTTGGTCATCCAAACGGACGACAAGGCCGCTAACGAGAGACAATCCCAGCCGCATTATGTGGCTAAGCATGCCTATCAACGTCCGGCACATAACAATGCCGTGATTTCTGAGGAAACCGACAACCACCACGCTGCAGCAGCATCCTCGAGTGATGGAGGAATTGTCGCAGCGCTCCCGCCGAAGCGTCCCAAGAGAGTTCGTAAGAACAAGGCGACACAAGAGACGGCAGCGACGGGAGCTGGACAGCCATGGACGACATATAAGATCACCAAGGAGGTCTATGACCTACGTCAGAAGTACGGATACTGCCTTTGGTGCAACGGTCCAGCAAACTCGGGAAACTGAGTTACGCAAGGAGAGGGGCGACGTCTCTCCTCACTCCGCCGGACCCGGTTGCCTTGCTAGCAATCGATGTCACTACCGGGGAGCATGCGTTAGTCGCTGATTCTCGTGCTACGTACGAGGATTATGCCGCCCAGCTGGTACCACCATTAGACCAGCCTAGCCACGTGCATGTAGATTGCGTATGCGCAGCCTGTACACCGTCGGCAAGTGACCCGGTCAGTTCGCCACTGATTTCCGAGGACTCGATGGCGTGGTCAAGACTTGAGGAGCTTGATCCGCTCAAGAGAGAGGATTTCGCTTGGATACCTCTACCCTCGACCGGAACATTACCAAGGCCGCATTGCAACGCCTTGATGGCAAATCTACGCTCCTACTTGCACACTACAGTACCAGTTCCGTTGACGGACGACGGGGTAGCGGTTGCCGATCTCCGCTCCTATCTTGCGAAGATCGACCGCGAGCACGCCACCCATAGGTACGCCGAAATCGACGCACCCAACCTGTAGTGCCTTGATTGATTGCGGAGCGTCTCGCAACTTCATGAGTCAAGCCTTTATGGCCCGCGTGTTCGAAGAAAGACGCAACCTACGCAAGTTACACTCGCGGACGGCCGCACGCAAAAGTCAATTGACCGATGCGTTGACGGCGTTCCGGTCTACTTTGCGCCACTTGCGTGCGAGCCGGTGTCTTTTGACATCCTCGACACCAAGTTCGACATGATTCTAGGCATATCTTGGTTGCGTAGCGCCGATCATCCGGTGAATTTCCATGACCGAGCCATTCACATCCGTGATCGGAACGGAGTGTTAGTCCCATGTACGGTCGCGACCCCTCACACTTCGATTGCTTGTCACGTGGTTTCCGTTGCGCGGATTCGCGACGCCATTGCTCGGAATGACATCGAGGAGATGGGCCTTGTATTCTTGCATGCTCTCCCCTCGCCGGACGGACCAGC